CCAGCTCAGCTGCCTTGGCTCGGGTTTGAGTAAAAATGGATTTTCCTATCAGGTTTTAGGAGAAAAAAGGACTTTCACGTTGGAATTAAACCCGTCGCTCTTGAGGATAATGGGAAACGTCGCTGCGCAAGTGTTTGGGTTGAACCAAGGTGGTTTTCACGGGACGTGGGTTGGGAAAACACAGGCAGAGGGGATTGCGACCGCGAATCTGTTACGGAAGAAGACGTAGAAGATCTCAAGAACCTGGATGACGCAGCTGTTAACTGAGTCTTGTCCTTCTGGCCGGTAAACTTTTCCCCCCAAACCATCTTGGAGACAGTCAAAATTCCAAGTGGACTTGGAGCTTTCCAGAAATTACCTTGTCTGCGACGTGGTGGGGGGTGTTGACTGCGTTATTTTTCCTTGTGTTTTTCAGGACGTGTTCGAGATGCGCTTCGCCAAAATGCCGGATGAACCGGAAGAGCCTGTGATTCCAGCTTCTTCTCCTGTGGTGGTGCCACCTCCCACCAAGGTGGTTCCCCCTTCGTCCAGCGACAGCAGCAGCGACAGCTCCTCCGACAGCGACAGTTCCTCGGATGACTCCGAGGAGGAGCGAGCTCAGCGGTTAGCGGAGCTCCAGGAACAGGTATCGCGTCCGTCGTGATGGATTGGGGGTGTCCAACGTGTCCTCCTTGAACTCGGTGGGACTTTGCTCAAAGCTGTAGACTTTCTGGTCTGGAGCAAAGCGTTCCAAAATCTTTTTAAGTTTTCAAATGAAACATGAAGGAATCAGTGTTTTTCAGGACAATCCTTCCAGTTCCTGTTAGGACACACAAGATGGTCTCCTAATGGCAGGAATTTGCTGCCTGCACTTGAGTGGTGTCTTCTGAGCAGGCAGGAGATCTCCTGGGCAGGCAGGAGGCTTCTTGGGCAGGCAGGAGATCTTCTGGGCAGGCAGGAGGCTTCTTGGGCAGGCAGGAGATCTTCTGGGCAGGCAGGAGACTTCCTGGGCTGCCCAAACTCCTGAGCTAGAGCAAGGATTTTACCCAGCGTGGTGGAAGCCTGGGAGATAACGAGCAGCCCTCCAACCCGTAGCCTTCTTTCTCGCATCTTCCCTGTTCCTGGCGTCGTTAGCGCCGGTAATTAAAGCACCAGACGAAGCGAGCAGCCCACTTCTACCTTTTTCGGGGAGAAACAGCCGTAAAGGGGTTGTCTCCTTCCTCTCGCGGCGGTCCATAATAGGAATCACGGTGTGATGGAAAGCTGGAAGGAACGACTTAAAGAATTGTGAAAGATAAAGCGTTAAGCAGTACAGAAAAATTAATTAATATGGAAAAGGAGGAGGCAAAAGCGTTTTGATCATTGTGTGTGTCTGCCTCCCAGCTTAAAGCAGTGCATGAACAGCTTGCAGCCCTGTCCCAGCCGCAGCAGAACAAACCAAAGAAAAAAGAGAAAGACAAGAAGGAGAAGAAGAAAGAGAAGCACAAAAAGAAGGAAGAGCTGGAAGACGCCAAGAAAAGCAAAGCCAAGGAACCGCCACCCAAGAAGGCCAAGAAGAGCAACAGCAACAGCAGTACCTCCAGGTCAGCCCTGTCCCTCAATCCTTACCGTTTTTACTTCCCTTTTGCTCGTTAACTTAATTATACGCTGGATTCTTGACGAATAACACCTCTGCTCAAACCCCTCGCCTCGGGGGTTGCTCAAGGTCACGTCCCGACCGTGAGTTGAGCTTCGTTTTTCGGGGCTGATGTGAACACGCCGAGTACTGGGGAGAGGGGAAGAAAAATGGCATGGATCTCAAATCCTCGAATCCTCTGATTTTTCCTCCCTCTCCCTTTTTTTTTGGAGGGGGGGAGCTATAGGTTTTAAATTTAAGAGGGAAAATGCCAAGAGCCGAGTCTCTACCGCTTCTCAGCTGCCGGCTCAAAGGGAAGGTGGGATCTTGGTATTTAAACCGAGGCAAAAAGTTGTTTGCCGTATTGAGCTGTAATGAGATGAAATTAAGACAGAAGGAAATAACGAGCAAGGTCTCGGAGCTTGGCTCTGTCCCCGGGCCTCACCGCAGCGTTTAGTGTGTTCAGACCTGGAATAAACCCCGGCAGGCACAGCAGTGGGTTATTTTATGGAAATGGACTGTCCGTGACACCATTTACCTCATCCTTCACTACCTCGGGGTGGGGGGGCGGGATTTTCTACCCAGACTTCATTTATTAATTGCGTTAGCACTGAATCCGCTGCAAACAGTGGGATAAATCTCTACAAACCGAGGTCATCGGTTTTGAAGTGTCTGAAATGTCGATAACCCCGACGGTGATGTCAAGGAGTCCCCTTGGCTGGTTTTTTTTCCTTTCTTAAGAACGTATTTTTTAACGGACGCCAGGTTTTACTTCTCCGTACGGCATCAGCCTTTCCTGACGAGAAACGGGCAGCATCGCTTGAGCCTTGGTCCGTGTAAGGAATTCCCCTCCGGAGCTGCTCCTGCTTCTCTGAATTACCTCCCAGAGCTGCTCGTCTCTTTGGGAGAGCGAGCCTTGGGATGAGTAGCTCGGCTTTGGGTGCCTATGAGTAGGTTGAGCTCAGCTTTGGGTGCCTGAGAGCAGGTTGAGCTCAACTTTGGGTGCCTGGGAGCAGGTTGAGCTCAGCTTTGGGTGCCTGAGAGCAGGTTGAGCTCAGCTTTGGTTGCCTGAGAGCAGGCTGAGCTCAGCTTTTGGTGTCTTAACAGCAAGTTGAGGTCAGCCTTGGGTGCCTGACCTTGAGTTGAGCTCAGCCTTCTTGTCTTAACAGCAAGTTGAGCTCAACTTTCTTGTCTAACAGCAGGTTGAGCTCCACCTTGAGTGTCTTAAAAGCAGGTTGAGCTCAGCTTTGGCTGTCTAACAGCAAGTTGAGCTCAGCCTTCTTGTCCAAGAGCAAGCTGAGCTCAGCCTTGTTGTCTAACATCAGGTTGAGCTTAGCCTTGGGTGTCTTAACAGCTGGTTGAGCTCAGCTTTCTGCATCTCAGCCTCGTGGTTGAGCCTCAAGCTCAGTCTATAAATGCAAAAGTTGCCCGTTTCCGGGATGGGAAGTAAAATTATCGTAAAAAGAATGATGTAGTGGTTACATTTGAGAGGTTAGACCCAAGCGGCTGCTTTTTGGCGTCAGGTTGTGTTCTGTAATAACATTCCATCGTTGTTCTTAAGTAGTAAGAAGGAGCCTGTGACGGTGAAGAACAGCAAGCCCCCTCCAGCCTACGAGTCTGAGGAGGAGGAGAAGTGTAAACCCATGTCCTATGAGGAGAAGAGGCAGCTGAGCCTGGACATTAATAAACTCCCCGGTGAGAAACTGGGCCGAGTTGTCCATATCATCCAGTCGAGAGAACCCTCGCTCAAAAACTCCAATCCCGATGAGATCGAGATTGACTTTGAGACGTTAAAACCATCCACCTTACGGGAGCTGGAGAGATACGTAACGTCGTGTTTGCGGAAGAAGAGGAAACCTCAAGGTACCTTTTAACCTCAAAACTGGTTTTTTCTCCTTAATCTGGCGATGCTTGCCCGGGCTCGAGGCAGAGACAGGCAGGAGAAGAGATAGGTGCGGGTATTTAGGTGCTCGATACCCTTCTCCAGTGAAAAAAAGGAATTTATTTTAATTTTTTAATTGCATTTCATTTATGATTTCTCTAATGTCGCGTCACCGTGTGTGTTAAATCCTGCTGCGGGGCTGGAATTTGGTGGCGCCGATACGAGGCCCCTAATTTCTGTATCCCCTCTAAACCTCAGTATTTTAATTCCAATTAATACCTTTACGAAGAGCCGACGGGGGTTCCTTTCAGCGTGACGCGAGCGATTTATCTTAAACCCGTTAACGATCTTTCTGACGAGCGGCAGAGCTTCGTTTTGGGACGGGGAGCGAAGGCGAGGTGGGGGAAAAGCGATTCCACCCCCTCGGCATCGGTGGGACGCAGGGGGCATTTGCCAGATTCGGGCTTGAATCTATTTTAAACGTAAATATA